GCCAGGATGAAGGCGCGCGCCGCGTCGAATATCGCCAAGGGGCACCTCTTGAGCAGCGTGGCCCAAGCGCAGTGGCCGACGATGATATCCAGGATGGGCCCGCGGACCTTCGGGCGGCGGAGGAGCTCAACAACCGCGCGTCGGAATCGCCGGGCACGCCGCGCAGAGGCCCGCGCTGAGTGACGATGCCCATCGAGCTCGAGCCCCACGAAGCCGGTCGCCCTCGCGGCCTCGACCTGCTTGTGGGCGACAAAGCCGAGGGAGCACAGCTCGCGCTCGACCTTGCTGGCCGCGGCCTGAACCTTGGGACGCCGCGGCCCTGCAGCCAGGTAGTCGTCGACGCAAGCGGCTCCAGCGGCAGGAAGCATGGGCCCCAAAACGACGCCCAAGCTGCGGTCTCGCACCTGCCGCGCGGGGGCGACGCGCGCCCGGGCGAGCGCGGCCGCCGAAACGCACCAGCACAAGCGCAGCGCCCAGGACCAGCCCACGATGAGGATCGCGAGCTCAGGAGCAACCGGTCCGATTCGTGGATGGCGACGCCGTTCAGCTGAGACGCGCCAGCAAGCCCAGCGCGAACAGGCGGCAGGGAGAAGAACTCGCAGAGGTCCTCGGGGACCTGCATGGCGTAGAAGGCGTTCGAGATGTCGCCGTTGCTGAACCGGGCGTCGTTACTGCCCTGCGCCCCCGCGTGGGCGAACGCGCTGCCGCTGGGCAGCTCCGCGCAGGGAGGTGGCTTGAACCGCGCGCCGCAGACGCGCGCGTCGAAGACGCCATGGAGCCCGCGCCGACCGCGAGCAAGAGACAGGCGCAGCATGCCCCTTCCCAGGAGCTCGCCAATGAACTCCCCGCAAGTGGCAGGATGTCGTGATTCAGGGTCAATGTAGGGTTGGGCAAGTCCGAGGTCTCGCCGAAGAGCCGCTGCCCCAGCTGGTGGGCGAAGCACCCGGGCCCTCCAGCCCATGCAGCCAAAAAACGGCCAGCCTCCAAAAGTGCGCCATGAAGCGCCACGGGCGCGGAGCCGCCAGAAAGCCAGGACACAGGGTCGGGAACCGAGTCGCCACGCCCAGCTGAATAGAGCGGGCAACTGGAGCAGATGTCGGAGAGAGCGTGCTTGCGGGAGATGTCAGACGGCGGGCCGCCGAACTTGACATGCTGGGCAGCGATGTAGTCGAGCGACCGCTGCTGCAAAACTGTGGAACGCTTCCGAATCGAATGCGACCCTCCGCCGCCGGGCCAGATGAGCGCCGCGGTGCCGTCGTTGGCCCAGCCGATGACAACCCGCGCGGCGGCGCCACCATCAGAGCGGCGGGGATCGTCATGAAGATGAAACGGAAGAAAGAGAACGTTTCGCTGACGACAGACGGCCGCGGCGAAATGACCACGACGTCAGAAGCGAAAGGCCAGAGGGGGGGCCCTTCAGGATGGCCAAGGTCCTGGCGGCCGCTGCGAGCACCGTGGGCGAAACGGGCTAGGACTTGCCAGCCTTGCCCGCGCCGCTTCCCTGTCCACCGCCGCGGCCGACAGCGGGCGGGTGGGGCAGCTGCCGCTCCTCGCGCGCCTTGCGGCGCTCCTTCGCGATGGCCAATTCGGCGGCCAGCTGCTTCGAGATCCACTCGGCCAGGGCGGGCGCGACCATGATCCCGCGAGTCGACTGCATGCCCGTGAAGAAGAACTGCTCGTCGCCTCCACTGCCAAGAGCTCGCGAGCAGACCAGCTCGTCCCTGTACCGTTCTTCGCAAAGCTGGAGCTGCCTGGCCACGAGCTCCAGCGAGGCCAGGCTGGAGCCGTCAACTTGGTCATGCGACTGAGCCACCTGCATGATCTTCGAGAACTCGTGGTGCATCGAAACGATCGGGTCGTCTGGTGGCATCGCCGAGCCGAGAGCCGCCTTCCAGGCGAGATGATGCCCCATGGGCGATTCACCCTTCTCCACCTGGTAGGTCGCGGCCCAGCGGTATGTGTATGGCCCTGGCATTGGCCAGTCGGGTAACGAGGTGGGGCGCATGAGCTGCGCACTGTCCCGATGCTCCCTCTGCCGCTGCCCTTGACCGTCGTGCGCGGTGGCGAGCGCGCGGAGGTCGCCGGCGCCGAAACCCCCACCGCCGTCTGGGGCTGGGGCGGCCGCGACGGCCGCGCCGTCAAGTCCAACACCGGGAGGTCTGGCCACCAACGCCGCAAGCCCGGCAACCCCGCCGGCTGCGGCGGGCGCAGGCGCAGCGCCTGCGGGGACTGCGGGGGCGGGGGCAACAGCGGCGGCACCAGGCGCAGCGGCGGGAACGCCTGCGGCGATGCCGCCTCCCAAGGGCCCTGCGCCGCCGCCAGCCAGGACCACTGCGAACGCCCCAGCGCCTCCACCAGGACCAGGAGCAGCGGCAGCAGCAGGCCCGAGGCCGCTAGCGGTCTGGTCCCGCTCCACGAGCTTCGCGGCACCCAGCGCGCAGTCCTGGGCGAGCTGGGCGACGGTCGGCAACGTGGCGAAGTCGTACCGTCGGATCCACGCTGGGATGACGGCGCCAAGCGGCGCGGCAGCGGGCCCCCACTCCTTCCACCAGTTGCGGATGTTTGTGTTCGCGGCGTCGCCCTCCTCGATGTAGACGTCGAAATCTGGAGCGAGCACCGCGTAGTGCTCCAGCCCCCGAAACGAGACACCCACCACGATGCGTTTGTGCGCCAGGCGGGGCGGTGGTTTGCCAAACTCCACCCATATCTCATCGCCAACCGAAACCATGAGAAGAGGCCCAAGCCACCAACTCGAGGAGCGCGTCGATCAGGTGAGTCGACCCGCACAGGCTGCTGCGCGGTCGAGTTGGGGTCGCCCCCGAAGGCGGGCCGCGCGGCGCGGCCCCGGCACGAGCAGCGGGCCGCCGCGACGACCCACCCGGCGCCGAGAACGGGCCCGCCTCGACCAGCGGGGGCGGCGCGGCCGCCTGCGGAGGCGCAGCGGGCGCCTCGGGCGCCGCGGGCGCCGACGGCAGCAGCCATCAGCGAGCCAGGAGCAGCAGAATCCCGTTGCCACTGAACCGCATCCAGGCGAAGGCCTCTCCCTCCAGCAAAAGACTTACGCCGACGCGGTTGCGGCGCATCGGCGCGACCACGACGGCCCTCGGTTACACCTGAGATGAGATGTACAAGACACGGCCATCATCATCATCATCATCATCATCATCATCATCATCATCATCATCATCAGCATCATCATCATCATCATCATCATCATCATCATCATCATCATCATCATCATCATCATCATCTCATCATCATCATCATCATCATCATCATCATCATCATCATCATCATCATCATCATCATCATCATCATCATCATCATCATCATCATCATCATCATCATCATCATCATCATCATCTTTGTCGTCATCAGCATAATCATCATCATCATTATCATCCTCATCCTCATCCTCAGCCTCCTGATCATCACCATCACCATCACCAGCACCATCACAACCATCACCATCATCATCGGCATCATCAGCATCATTGTCGTCCTCCTCTTCATCATCACCGTCACTACCACCATCACCATCATCATCATCATCATCATCATCATCATCATCACCACCGTCACAATCACCATCACCATCATCATCATCATCATCATCATCATCATCATCATCATCATACTCGTCGTCATCATCATCATCATTATCAGCATCATCATCATCATCATCCTCATCATCGTCATCATCATCATAAGCATGAGCACAAGCATCAGCATCAGCATCAGCAATGTCATCATCACCACCATCAACATCACCACCATCAACATCATCACCACCATCACCATCATCCTCATCATCACAACCATCACCATCATCATCAACACCATCATCAGCATCGTCTGCATCATACTCGTTATCATCATCAGCAGCATCATCATCATCACCATCAGCATCATCATCATCGTCATCGTCATCATCATCATCATCATCATCATCATTAGCATCAGCATCATCATCATCATGACCATCACCATCACCATCATCATCATCATCATCATCCTCCTCATCCTCCTCATCACCATCACCATCACCATCATCACCATCATCAGCATCATATCAGCATCACCTTCAGCACCCGCATCAGCATCAGCATCATCATCACCATCACCACTACCGTCATCATCATCAACATCATCCTCGTCATCATCACCACCATCATCACCACCATCATCACCACCATCATCACCACCGTCATCACCACCGTCATCACCACCATCATCCTAATCATCATCCTCATCAGCATCATCGCCTGGCTTTTACTTCCGCTGCGTCCCGCCGGCGCCTTCCGCCGGCGGCCCCGCACTTGCCACCGTGCTGATGCTGCTGTCTTCCCCAGGAGGGCGAGGGCGAGCCCAGAGCGAGGTCCTTCCTGGAGCGCGCCATATCTACGACAACTACCACGAGGAGGACGAGCAGCAGGAGGAGGAGAAGGATGAGCAGAAGGAAGAGGAGGAGAAGGAGGAGGAGGACGAGGAGGAGGACGAGGAGGAGGAGGAGGAGAGACGAGTCTGTTCCCTGCCGAGAGAAACAAGGCGGGGGGCATCAAAACTAAAGACCCTTGGAGATCGCATGCGCCTCCCTGGGGCCCATCGGTTCTTTCAAGCGAACGCAGCCAAGAGGGACATCGAGAGATCCGCTGCCCCTCAGGAGTGCTGTCCCGACCGCACGATGCACGGGCAGGCGAGCACCACGACACACACGCATGGCATGCCGTAGCAAAACATCGCATCGCGACCGGAAGAACTAAGTGGCAATCTACGACTGGTTCGTGTCTCGACGACTTCTGCGTTGGTTCTTGACACTGCGCAGATCGTTCAACCTGGAACGATCACGGCTCGCTGGTAGCGCAGATCGCTCGATAGCGGCCAATTCTGGGCCTCAGGCGGCGTTCAACCTTGAACGCCAGCGCTGGGGTCGCCGCCGCATCGACAAGACACGAACCTGCCGCGAGCAGTCGCAGCTGGGGCCCAAGGATGGCGCCTGCCTGGGCGCCGGCGGCCGGTGCACGTGCAGCCTCCCTCCGCGGGGCCTCCTCCAGGACCCCGCGGCCCTGGGCCTCCTCGAGCAGGCGCGCGCGCAGCCTGGCCACCTCCTCCTCCGGCCCCTCGTCCTGGGGGATCCAACAGGCACCGATGCCGCTGCTCCGCGGATCGCTGCTCGAAGATTGACAGAACACCCTTAAGCAGAGCGCCTTTTTATGAAAGCTGCCAGGGGCACTCCACGTGCGCACGTCACCGCATGCCGAGTGGACTCCAGCAGGGTAGCTGATCGACGTCTTAAAAAAAGCGAATGTATCAGGCAACACGCAGGTCGATTTGCCAAACCGACTGGGGACTGCACTGGCACACTCGAATGCCATGTCGAGTGAGCCATGCACACTTCCTGTCGACTTGTCTGGGTGGGCGTTATCTCAATGCCCGATCTGCCGAGGCGCGTTCTGGCCGGGATCTCGAGGTGAATCTGGTCGTTGCGACGAAAAGAGGACCAAAAACGGCAGAAGCATTAACTTTCGAAGCTCCGCACAAATTGCTTGGATCGGCACTGGACCCCCCCTCCCTGGCGCGCGAGCATGCCAGGGGCAGCGCCAGAGGCACCGCCAAGGGGGCCACAGCACCGATCCAAGAAATCCGACCGTGGCGACGCGGGTAGCGGCATCTGGGTCACCTAGCTTCGCGCGGGGCGCCCCGCGATGCGCGACGCGCGACTATCTTCGCGCCCTCGCGCCGCCCCCCCTGGAGAAGGGCAGCCGCTTTGGCCCAGGCTGCAACGAGCGAAGCGCGATTAGCTTCACGCCCCGCGGGTGCCCTAGAAGCAATCCGAAACAACTGAAACATCCAGAAAAATCACCACTGGAGCCCTAGACCCCATCTTCCTGCGGCATTTTTCAAGCTGGATTGATCCGTGATGGCCCCGGGGCCCGAAACAAGGCAACGCCAGGGTCTCAGGCCAGCGGCATCGGCACCTCCTCCCCCCCCAGCGCCGCCTCCGCCGCGATGGCGGCGGCCGCTGCTCCGCCGCAGGCCGCCGCCCGCGCCTCGCGCGCGCCCGACGGCTCCCGGACCTCTCCGCCGGCGGCCGCCGCAGCCGCCGCCTGCGGCGCGGGCGGCTGCACAGTGGTGCCCTCCGCGGCGGCCTCTTCCGCGGCAGCCTGCTCGACCTTGAGGTCCTCCTCCTCCTCCTCCTCCTCCTCCTCCTCCTCCTCCTCGTCCTCCTCCTCCTCCTCCTCCTCCTCCTCCTCCTCTGGGCATTCATTGGCCCAGGCCGTGCGGTCTGGACCCAGATGGCCCCAGGCCATAGGCTACGGCCACCGTGCGATACAGGGTGGTGGCTCCAGGAAGCTGGGCCCACTGACGGGGATAAGGCGACCCGGATGATGTGATTGCTACAGACACGCCGGCGAATGGGACTTCTGAGACCGCGGCGTTACATTTTAGACATCGGAGTACGAGTGAAAGCGTCATATGGCGACCATGCGCGCGAAGCCCAGCGGACTTGCGACATCGCCATCGCCCGTGTCAAAAGTCCCTTTCCCCAGGGTCCCGTTTAGAACCACATGACTAGAGCCAGATCACCTCAGGTTCCTCCTCCCCGAGGCACTTCAAAGGCCTCGCACCCTGGCGCGGCCGCCCTGGAGAAAGGCGCCTCTCTGGCCCAGGCCGCGAGGCGCGATGATCATCGAACATCGTCGCGCCCTTGCATGGGGATGACCTGGGAGACGGCGAGAAAGCCCTTCAGCAGTGCAGGTTCAGGCCCCGCCTCTGCACCCCCCGCTCCGCCACCACCGGGGCCAGAGTGTGGACCAGACCAGTGCGACGCACGCGCTGGCGCCTCCGAGGGCCACGGGTCAACCGCGCCCTGGGGCTCTCAAGCTGTCGGAGGCCTGAGAAGGCGAGACCGCCGCAGGCTCCTGGCAGCCCATGCTGCACGGCGACGGAGAGGGGAGGTGAGGAACAGGCAGCAACCCTCAGATCCAAGCGACGCAGGGAGACGGTGACGGCACGCGTTCCATCGTTGTCGGCATCTGGGGGCCGCAGGGGGCCGTTTCCCCGCCCCTGGACCGTTCAACAGCAGCTCGGGCACAAAGACCCGGGGAAAAGGCCGAGATCTCCTGGAGGCCACTCTGCGAACAAGAAGCGGCGCTGGAGGGAAGGGAGGCGCGCGACGGCGCGCAGGCGGGAGGCCAGGGCGGGAGGCACGAGGCGCGCGGGTGGGCAGGCGGGGCAGGGGCAGGCGCGCCGTGTGAGCGACGAAACATGGCAGCATGGCATGGCGACCTTACGCGGCGGCTTGCGCGGACCGCCATCGTGGCACACCGCGTGGGGAAGAGGGCGCCTGCGCGCGACCTCACTCGGGGAAGTTCGCGCGCCAATGTCGGCGTGTTCGTCGACCCTGTTCTCTTTCGTCGCTCATGTCGGCGTGGTCTGACACGCGGCCCAAAACAGGGCGACGAAATCTGTACAGATCCGCTGCTCCCTGGCTGGGCCCTTCCTGAACCCAGCAGCGGTGCATACGCCACGCCCTCCTGGCTGGGCCACGAGGGCGTATACACAGCTCCTGGGTTCAGGATGGGCCTGGCCAGGTAGCAGTGGATACATCTGTAATTACAGTCGGACCGAGGATATAAACGTATCCTTCAAGAACGTGGGACCCTCCGCCGGCCAAGACGCACAGAACAACCAAGAGTGCCTCCCCAGAGTGCACAGGAACACCCAACAAGCACGGATAACATTTGGGTGCCCGACCCGCACCGACCTCGATCTTATGCCTCGGTCCGACCGTGTGAAATTCGTCGCCCGACGGAGCCTGCTGCGCCAGCGCCGCAGCATTCGCGCCCCCCGCGCGCGCCTCGGTGGCGCCCTGCGGCAGCTCCATCTCCAGGCTGGGGCCGGCGGTCGGCCACGCCCGGGCGGCCTCAGCCCCCGGTCGCGCGCCCCTGGCCGTGCCCCGCCGATCCTCTTGGGAGGGCGCCGGTTGCTCCTCCTGCTCCTCCTCCTCCCTCCTCCTCCTCCTCCTCCTCCTCCTCCTCCTCCTCCTCCTCCTCCTCCTCCTCTTCGACCTCGCCCTCCTCCTCCTCCTCCTCCTCCTCCCCATCCTCCTCCTCCTCCTCCTCCTCCTCCTCCTCCTCCTCCTCCTCCACCAACGCCGCTCAAAGGCCAGGCCCATCGTAGGCCCAGGGTCGGTGTGTACGCGCTGCTGACTTGCGGTCGGGCCTGGGACAGAAAAACATAATCCAAGAGCATGAGACCCTCCGCCGGCCAAAACGCCCTGGACCATGAGATCATTCGAGGGTGCCCTGCCCCAGAATGCGCGTGAACATCCACCAAGCACGAAGAACATGAGGGTACCCTCCCCGAGCCGACCTCAATCCTATACCTCGACCCGACCGCAGTATGCAATCATCGAGCTGCGGTACGGAACGAAGGGTTTTTTCTGGCCACGGCGAGCCTCGGCCACGAATAGTCTCCCCGACCCACATCTGAGGAGCGGCCCGAAAACCAGGCCGCCTCCTGGACCCAGGGTGCCTCTGTCTTCAGCGTATTGGCTGCTGCTCGCCAGGGGGGGGCCTGCACACCACTCCCGGACCCAGGACCAGGCCTGGCCAGGCCCCGGTTGTTGGGCGCACGGCGGGCGCCCGCGGAGGTCCTTGAACCGCGGCGCGGGGGACAGGCAGAACGGGAGGACGCTCCTCTCCTGCGCGGAGAACTCGGCCCTCTCCTCCGCGGGGCGCTGCGGCAGAAGCGTGTCCACGGACCCATGGCTCCCCAGGCCACCTTGGAGCCTGGGGCGGGCCTTGTGGGCCTCGCCTGAGGCCACCCCTCAGCCACCACGGGCCTGCCTGCAGCTCTGGGGACGCATTAGGGCCTTGGGTCACGATCGCCACTCCGAAGCCCCCGACGTCGCTAACTGCTCAGTACAGCCATCACGCTGCCGTACCAGAAAGAACGAAGGAACGAACAGGCTTCACTGGCCACGGCTACAGCGAGCCTCGGCCACGAACGCGCTCCCCGGTCTAAATTTAGTCCTGGAGCTGGAGCTCTCGACCCATCCGCGCGGACCAACTTTCCGCTCCGAGTCGTTCTCGAGGGTACCGGGGCCCGAAAACTGCCCTTGGACGTCAACAATTACAAATCAAGAGCCACCTGCACTTTCTCAAGACGCGGAAAATCTGATTCCCAGAATCAACCTCCAGACCCGTCTCGAAGGGCGCTCCGACCAGAGTTTCGAAGTGCGCCCCTGGAGGCCCAGAAAAGCACCCAGACGGCCAAAAACCGGATTCCTGATTCCTCAAGACGTTGGAGATATGGCGGATTCCGGAAACCCTGAACCTAAAAATGTTGATTGTCATCTCTTGGGGGCACATGTTTTACTTCCGAAGCCCTCCACCGAGGAAGAGATGCCAACTCGTTCGATCCTCGAAGGCGAAGCCCTCCCTAAAGCGCCCAATATGTGCCCCACGCATCCGACGATGCGATTCTCGACACCCACCCATAAGGCCAACGTATCATCCCGCATGCGTGTTTGCTGGCCCTGGGCCCAGAAGCGACCCCCACACTTCGACCAAAAAACGGAGGGCAAGCGGCCTTGCACAAACCACGACGTCAAACCGCGCGGCCTCCGAAGGAGCATTCGAACGGGCAGCCGAACAGGCTCAGACGCCGAACGGGTGAAGAAGGGAACCCTGGGGCACGGGAACCACGGGGGCAGGGGCACAAACACCGCAACAACTTTTTGTGACGAGGCAGAAGTAGATTGCACCAGCGGTCAAGCAAGTCGGGGCGGCCGAAGAGCGAATTGTCCAGCATGCAAGAAAGAGGACTGAGACAGGCAGGGCGGCCACGTAGGCACGGGGGAGGAGGGGGGCACTCAGAGGTGGAAGACTTCCATCTCGAGCGCGATGGCGCGGCCAGCACCAGCAGCAGCCGGACCGCGGCAGCAGTCGGGCCGCGGCGTCGGTGCACCCACGGGCGCCACCGTGCGCGGGAAGCAGGGGCACGCGCAGTTGAGCCGTCCATGCGTGGGCTGACAAGGTGCTGCAAGTGAGGAAACGCACGGCGGAACCGTCAAAGTGCGGGCCGACTAGGCACTGCAAGTGACAAGAAACGCAACCTAGGCTTCAGACCGCCAACAGCAAAATAGTGCGCCCGCTGGGTGTAGAGCGAGGGCTGCGGCGATGTGCAGGATCCAAGAACGCCACCACCAGGGGAAACTGCCGGCCGAGGCTGCAGCGAAGGCGCCAGGGCGGCGCGCGGAAGGAGGGGGGGAAAGGCGCGGGGGAGGGGAAGGGAGAGAAGGAGGGAATGGCACCCCGCCAGCGGGGAAGCCCCAGCAGGCGGGGCGACGGCACCAGGCGGCCCTGCGCCAGCGCTGCAGCTGCCAAGCGGGCGGCCCCAACGACGCGACGACGGGCGCGTCGCGCGTCGCGCCGGGGGCAACTCTGCAGCCGCGGCCGGTGGAGACCCCGCGCCGCCCGGGGAGGGCAGCGCCTGGTCGGGCGAGGGGCGCCTGAGCGGCGACTGGTGACATAACTGCGGCCGAAGGTCGTTGAAAGCCACGCGCTGACTGGGCGGGCAGCGCGTGGCCGGTCTAGGGGCACCTATAGGCGCAGTTTCTTGCGTCAAAACTTTGGCCGAAGGCCGTTGGTTCGTACAGAAGGCCGCGCGTCGTCCAGGGATGACGGCGCGTGATGGAGGAAACAGCGGAGGAAGGGGGCGTCGCGCCGGCTGGCGTCGCGGGCGCCCCCGCTGCGCCGAGCGCAGAACCTGTGCCGGGCCGCCCCGGGTCCACCGCCTACCTGCTGCGCCCTCCTGACCCTGGCCACCGCGGCCCCCTTCGAGCTGAGGATATCGAGCAGGACGCGTGTCGAGACATCCTCAAGACGCGAACGCCCCTTGCCCTGCTTCCTGTAGCCCGAGGGGCACAGGTCCCAATGGACGCGGGCGTCTGGCAATGCGGCCCAAGTGTTTTTGAAGAGTAGCAGGGGGCTCGCGCCTTGCAGGCAGGTGTTCCCCCTCGCGGGCCGGCGCTGGGGCAGCCCGCGGCGCCCGGGCCGCCGACGGCCGCCGTCGCAGGGGAGCAGCGAGGAGCCCCAGGGGCGGGCGGGATGCTTGTTGTCGGGCGATCGCCCAAGTCGCCTGCTTGCGCCGCTGACCTGGCCGGGCTGCAACGGGCGCCACGCGCCGCCCCGACCTGGCGGGCAGGGGCGCCCGGGGGGGCGGCGGGCCCGGCGCGGGGGGGCGCGTCGGGGAAAGTGTCGGGGAGGGATCCCCGCGTCGCGAGGGGCGTTGGTCGGGGCGCCGTCGGGTGGGGAGTCAGGAGGAGCGCAAGCCGGAATTGCGGGGGGCGCCAAGCCCCCCGGCAAAACCAGCTGGGCTGCCGGCGACGATTTTGCGACAGCACAATTAACTTCTGCTGCCCGCCAAAAACTGGCATTCGCCCTGGCCTCGCACCTGCGATTCTGGCGCGGGGCTGATTTTCATTGCGCTTTCTATGCAAGTCGGAGCGCTGGCTCCAAACGAAAAAGCATCGGAACAACGCGCGCGAAGACGTCGGAATCCACCGGGGCAAAGCCGCGGCGGGCGAGGCACCGGCGAAGGCGCAGCCACACAAGGCTACAGGATGATTCACTCTGCCACGGAAAGGGGGACAGCAGCAACGGCCGACCCAGACGCCCGAGGCTAGCGGGGCGGGAGGCCATGGGAGGCCATGAGGGGACACATGGCAAGCCATTGTAGCCATAGGGCGCCCAGCAGCGACGGCCGAGCCCCGCATCCAGGCGGCCGCTCACAATGAGCGCCCGCAAGCGCTAGAGCGCGGGTGCTCTCAGGCGCGCGAGCGCGCTCGGACGGAGGCGCCGACTGGCATCGCCAGGCGGCCACAAGCGATCGCACGCGCCCGGTGGAACAACCGCGGGCGCTGCCTGGAGCCCGCGGGCGGGCGCCAAATAGCCTGCAGAAACTCCTGGGCGGTCACGGCCATCGCCGCCCGCTGCGCTCGCAGCCCTCATGCGCGCGCGTGGCCCGAGAGAGGTGCGCGAGAGAGGCGAGCCCGCGAGAATTCGGAAAAAAACAATGAAAATCCGCCGCGAACCCTGGTTAGAAACGCACCAGATACCACGGGAATCCGCGAGGGCCCGCGAGAATCCGCCAGGAACTTTTGCCGGCAACCAAACAACATCCACGAGAGTCTGCGCAAATCCGCGAGAATCAGCGGGCGAGTTCTTGAGCCTCTAGGGAAACCTCCGGGGACCTCGAGGACGTCCAAGAAGACGCAGGGGGGCCTCTGGGTGGAGGGCTCCAGGGGCCTCTGGACGGCGTCGTCGCTGTCGCCGTCGCCGTCGCCACCGTCGTCGCCGTCGATGGCTTTCGGGTTCCCTGGAAACCTCCATTGACCTCCTTGGGTCTCCGACGCCTGCAGGAAAACCTCGAGAGGAGCCTCGGGCGGCCTCTGGACGTCGTCGTCGCCGCGGGGCGCCTTCGGATGCGCGCCGTCTGTCTGGCAGGGTACACGGACGCACGCGCGCGCGCGCGCTCGCCCCGTGAGCGCGCAACTACAGACGAAGATGATGATGGTGGCGATGATGACGACGATGACGATGACGCCCGAATGGTAAAATGGCCCACCCTATGTGCTCCACGCACGGGGTCATATAAACGCAAGGCGCTCGCACTCGCGTCCGAGGCATGCCATCGCGACCGAAACGCGCCAGGAAGCAACACAGCTAAGCTTCAATGTCCGATTGTTGGGCCTCGCGCCGAAGGCGCGCCCGCGGGCCTGCGTTTCCGAAACCTACAATTTGAAGGCCTGCCTCTCCTTGCATCTCCGATCTCCGACCCTCGTAGGCTGGGCGACGGCACCGGCGTCGGATGGGACATTGGGCCCAGGAGCGTCGGCCTCGGCATCGCTGTCGTCAGCTTGATCTGCCCGGCAGAGTCAGCCTGATCGCTCGCGGTTGCAATGCTGGCGTTCATATATGGCTGCTCACTGTCGCGCTGCTGGAACCCGGCGCGTTGCGCAAGGTCGAGCTGCTGAGGTTCGTCGCGTCGTTCGCGATCTTGCTGCTGGAGTGCGTCCTGCTGCTCGTGGTCGCGCGGCAAGGGTGCGTCATCCTGCCAATGGCGGTGCTGCCGGCGTCTGTCCTGCTGCTCGCGGCCCCGCATCTGGGCCCCGCTATCGGGCTGCGGCGACGAGGGCTCTCCTGGACGAATCGCGGAGGGGCCAGCCGCGGCGACGAGGGCTCTCCTGGGCGCGCGGCGGCGCCGGGATCTCTCCTTCTTCCGCCCCCGCAAAATCCCCCGCCCCCCAGAAAATCCCTGCCGCTCCCGGGCCCGCCCGGGCCCCCGCCGCCCTCGCCTCCGCGCGGACTAGGTGCGCCGCTGGGCGCGGCGGCGTCTCGCGCGAGGACTCCGCCGGTTCCGCGAGGGCCCCGGCGGCCCCCGGACAGGAACCGCCGTGGTCCGGGGGGGCCGCGCGGACCAGTCGGAGGAGGGCCGTCGTCGTCGCCGTCGCAGTCGTCTCATCGGTCCAGAGCCGTGGCGGGGCCGCCTCCTCCAGGGGCGCCGTCGCCGCCCCGCGGCGGACGGGCGCCGCCCGAACCGCTGTCGGGCGGGGGGCGGGCGAATTGGGGCGAAGGGGCCTTGGCTGACCAGGCGACGGAACGCCGCTCTGTCCACCTTGCCGCCCGCGGCCCGCGCTCGATCCCAGGGGCCAGGGGGCGC